CGGTCACTTCTCCCAGCGCAATTAACCCTTCCTTCCCCCCTTCCTCCTCCCCTTTCCTATCCTCTCATGCATATTTCAGGCATGTGCAGTGCAGTTAATTCTCCTTGTCCTTCCTTGCTCTCCGCTTTCCCCCAAACTCTTCGCTGGTCTCCTTCTTTCCTCAAAATTCACCCCAAAGTTTACCCGAACAAAGATCCAACCGAAGGGGGGGGGGGAGTGGTTACGTTTTGTTTCGCCACCCCAGGTCCCTACGTCTGGCCCGAAAGGTGATTCTGCTCAGTAGCTAGTTGTTAAACACATGGGGGAATGGTTTAAAATGTTAAGGTGCGCTTTAACTTCCATGCGTGGCAAACACTCATGTCGCCAATACCAGAAGGGGCTTACGGTACCTAAGATAAACTCGTGCGAAGTAGACGGTCACATTGTTTTGCACATTACTTCAAGGCCTCCTGCACCCTGGCGTATCAAGTAAATGGGTGTTACCGGTTTTACAACAGTGTTTCCCAGCTCTGGCTTCGAACGCCACTTAAACACTTTGTCATCTCAACTTAAAGGGGCAGATTCCGATAGACATTCTCAAGAGCACTCCGAGTTACGTAATAAGATTATGGAACTTGGCATACCAGCGTGGGTAGACCTAAGCATCTTGTTAAGCTACTTTGTATGGGAGGAACTATTAGTTTCCCACGCCTCCCATATGCAGTGGACCTGCTGTAAATGGACGTTGGGTTCTCACCAGCCAAAATGACCCACCTCAACGACAGACATACAAGAATCCCTTTTCCTGGGCCATTTCCTTCGACAAGGGAAAAAGCCAACGAATCCAGTCTTCCCCAAGACCGCTTTATGGTCCTGGTTGGTTATCCGCCAGAAGTGATGATGGCCACAGCTACCCGCTGAATAGAGTTATAACGGCGAAGACTTGCGTAGCACACAACTCAGTCAATTTTTCCAGTCCCATGGCTCTCTGATAGTGCGGGTGAGTCAAGAGGACTGAATGTGGGTTTTTACGCAGCACACGATCTATTGGAAAGTCACCGTCTTCGCGCCCCACAACGCGGCTGAGTCGCCCCAACCGACTTATACGGATCGTGTACACAACTTGCCGGGGATTTGGGGGACAATATGATCAACCCACGCCCGGCCTCGAGTCAAGGTGTGGCCGCTGAACTCAACGCTGAGCCCTGAATTTGAATGAGTGCTGGGTGCCATTTGGGGTTAGAGCGGCACGACTGACACTTACAGCTGGGCAGAGTTACTATCCCTACCTGGGCACCCCATTGACTACTGAATTACAGGCATGTGCTAAGAGGACTTAACGATGACTGATCCCTCCGTCACGATGCCAAGTCAGCCCTATAGAAAGGAATCTTGATTCTAGGGCCACGTTCTGCCCCCCGCGCGTACGATCTGATCGCCCCAGACGCTGGTCCGCGCGAAATGATTTGAAGAGATGTTAAAATACCGAAAGCAACGAGTCACTATTAATCCTTTTTGACTTGTCTGTTCCGTACTCTAGGATTACACCTGCGCAAAGCAAAGAATTGGTGGATCGACTGCCAGATAAAAGCAAGGCTGGCGAACAGCTGGGCTTGAAAGACCTCATGACACGTCTGAAACGCGCTGTCGATAATACAAAGTCTCAAATTCTACGAGAGCACGCTCTCGGTGCCATTGCCAGCATTCTCAGACACCCTGGTGAGTTCATTTTTTTTCTCTCTCTCTGGCCCGTGTTTCTGTCCCAGAGTTGAAATATTCACGTTTATCTGTAAACAAAAAGTGCCTCGTGTTGTATACTGACTGATTCGAGCCCAGGATGTGCTTTCTCCGTAAGTTGGTCGCTGGAAACGCCATTCTTCGGTGCTCAGGTTTTGCATTGTTGACGTCTCTCGTTGGCCTCTTGTTGGCGGCTGCTACAATGCCCTCTTGTCTGAACCGTGGCAATTTCAATCTTCTCGGCAGACGCCCGTTTGACACCCTCCAACAGCGTGGCCACTCCTCCGGAGCTGAATCTGTATTGAGCGTTGCGAACATATTGATTAAATCGGTCTATTCAAGAGCTTTGATGTCCGGGGGCGTTGGGTTCTGCCACTTCACCCTATCCTCTGAAGGCGGCCGAAGTGGAAGCGGTTCGACTCCGTCATTTTCCAAGTTCCCGTTCCGTAGAGCAGTTTTGTCAGGGCGACGGTGATACTGCTTGCCTTTCGCAACCTTATCGTTGATTTCGATGTTTCTAGAGATAGCGTTTTCCAGAGAAGAATTGGTTCACGGCGGTGGACCGTCCCGCCGACAGTGACTAAGCGCTTCGCATATCCCGCAGTTGCTTCTAGCTCTGATGTTTAGGTCAGTATATTTTAAGAGTAATAGGCAATGCCTTTGAAAACCCTATTGTAAACTGTACATGCAATATTTCACTTTAAATAAATATGGTACTGAAATGTTGTCAGTAATATATGCATCTAACATAATATTTTCCGTGGAAATGTAGAACCAAAACTTGAGAACAGATGATTTCAGTAAAATGTTATGAAAGTCATCCGCATCAGCGGTATGAGTATGCAAGGCTTTGGTTTAGCACCACAGAGCTGTTCTGTCCAGACAATCGATAGTGTCCAAGCAAATATGCATCGAGTCTTTGCTTGAACGTCTCCGTGGTATCCGCCATTATTACGTCCTCGGGAAGCCCGTTCCAGGCACCGACGACTCGCTGTGAAAAACAGTATTTGCGAACATCCAGGCGGCACCGGGATCCTCTAAGTTTTAGAGAGTTCCCATGCAGGTTTGTTGTTGCGGCCAGGGTGAGGAAATCGTCGGGGTTTAGGGCACATTCCCGGTTCCTCAATATCCGATAGGCCTGTATGAGATCCCCTCGAACCTGCCTGTACTCAAGAGGAAAAAGTTTAAGTTCCCTAAGTCGGCAGTTGTAAGGTAAAGTCCTGAGGCCTTTTACAATTTTCGTTGCTCTCCTCTGAACTCTTTCGAGCAACTTATAGTCTTTATTTAGCCACGGGCGCCACGCTTGGATTCCATATTCCAAATGCGAACGAATGAACGCTCCGTATACTTTTCCAAATAACTCTTTGTCTATGTCCACGAAAGATCGTTTAATGGCAAAGAGAACACTATTTGCTCTTTTGGACGCCCTAACACACTGAGATGAAGGCTTAAGGGTCGACAAAATGTTAATCCCAAGATCTTTTTGTTCGATTACATTTGAGAGGCACCTTCCACCAAGTTGGTAATGGTGATCCTCTCCGTCAGCTCTTCCAGTCGTTTTGAGTCGCAGCGCGACGCACTTCTCAAGGTTAAACTTTAGCAGCCATTTGTCCGACCATTCGCATAGGCGGTTCAGTCCTTCTTGCAGGGCCCGTTCATCATGTTCGCCGTTGATCGCTCGCCATAACTTGATGTCGTCAGCAAACATGACTCCATTGCAGTCCAGTCCATTCATACAGTCGTTGACATAAATTAAAAATAGTACTGGTCCGAGTACGGAGCCCTGCGGAACTCCACTCGCAACTGGCACTGGCGTTGACTTCGTATTACCAATACACACAGACTGTGATCGACCAGTCAGAAAGTCCTTTATCCAGTTTAATAGGTTTCCTCTTATCCCTGATTCTCGGACCTTGTAAAGTAACCGGTGGTGTGGAACACTATCAAAGGCTTTCTTGAAATCTATGTACACGATATCGACCTTTGTTCCTGCGTCTAACGAGCGAGACCACTGTTCCGTTGAATGAAGCATATTAGTTAGGCAGGAGTGATTTCTTCGAAAGCCGTGCTGAGAACTAGCAAAGAAATTATTTTCTGCCAGGAACTTCATTATGGATTTTTTGACTATTCTCTCCATGACTTTGCAACAAATGCACGTTAGGCTCACCGTCCGATAATTGTTTGTACTTGTTCTGGATCCCCCCTTGTGAATGGGGTATATGTTGGCCACTTTCCAATCAGAGGGGAGAATGCCTCGGTCAAAGGACGACCTAAAGATGTGCCAAAGCGGTTTGGCGAGTTCGCAAGCCAACGCCTTCAGGACTTTTGCCGGAATTTGGTCTGGGCCCGGAGACTTGCCCTCCTGAAGCGCTAGAAGTTCCTTCCTCACATCTTCTTCCGTGAAGTCGATGTTTTCTATTACTTCGTCGGTTGTCCCAGCAGGAGATCCAGCCTCGTCAAAGTCCGTTTCATCAGTGAAAACCGATACGAAAAACCGGCTTAGATGTTCTGCCTTAGCGTCATTTTCGATGATATCCTCATCGTTTTCTCCTTTCAACACTGCGACCGTCTCCTTGTTCTTTAACTTACTGTTTATGTAGCTGAAGAGCACTTTTGGCTTATCGACGGCCCGTTCCATAACTCGCATTTCATACTCCTTCCGCGACCTGCGGATAGCCCCCCTTACCTCGTTTCGCTTTCGACGAAATTGCTCGTAATGGGATGGTTGTTTTGTTGTTGCATACCTTCGCCATAGTTTGTTCGTCCGGTTTACTTCTTTCTTTATATCCCGCGTTATCCAGGCAGGACGATTATTCTTTTTGACTCTTTTTGTCGGACAGTTTTGATGCATGATGTCTGTTACAACTCCTTTGAAATTGATCCAATCAACGTCTGGATGTCCGGAAAGAAAGTCATCCCAGTCCACTACCGATAATTCCCTTCTCATGGCGGCAAAATCTCCTCGCCAGAAATTCAGTCTAGGCTCAGTCGTATTCGCTTGTTGGCTGCATAGGCGGTATTCCCAAAGCAGCATGACATGGTCACTCTTACCGAGCGGTGTTATGGACCTAAGTTCGCCAGGGACAATCGGGTCTTTTGTAAGGACGAGGTCCAGACAATTCGCTCTTTGGTCCTCTCTGATTCTGGTTGGGAACGCGACGTTTTGTACCAGAAAGAGATTAGCCGTTAGCTTCAAGAGCCTGGAATCGAAGGAATTTCGCGAGCCATTTACTAACAAATTGTTCCAGTCGACCATGGGTGCGTTGAAATCCCCGGTTATCAGTACCTCTTGGTTTTGTGACACCTCTTTAATTAGCCCAAACATCGCATCGTCAACCTCATCAGTTTGATTGGGCGGCCTGTATACGGTCAGGAAATTCAAATTGGGTGCGCCACGCATCCTCAGTTTTAACCACATTGCTTCCCAGTCGCCGGAGCAATCGGTTTTGTGTTCCGACGCGATGATTCCTCTCTTGATGTAGACCGCTATTCCTCCTCCTTTTCTATGCAGTCTGTCCCGGCGAAAAAGTTGGTATCCCTCAAGTTTTATTTCGGCATCCAAGACTTCGGTCTGGAACCAAGTCTCTGTGATAGAAATGACATCCGGCTGCGTATCTACTATCCATACTTTCAGCTCATCTAGCTTATGAAACAAACTCTGAGCATTTGCATAAAGAAAGCGGAGCTTAGACCGGGCAGATTCCCGAACGATTCTTGGGCCGAAGTTGCTGGATACTTCGCGCGGGTTTTCGGGTCTATCGTCCTCTTCCGAGTCTACTGCTGTTTGATTGGACTGGATGTTAGTGTGTTGTCCGTCGTTTTCTCTGATCGGTTTGTCAGATAGGGGCGTTCTTTCCTTATTATCTGGTTGTTCATTATGCTCAGTGTAATTGGTTGTTTCCAGAGGAATGAGCTCCGAACATTTACGATTTTGCCATTCATTATTCTTCGGTTTTTCTCGCCGGAATTGTATCTTCTGAGGAGTTCGGCCTTGAGTTCCCTCCATTTCTCCCGTTCGGCCGGTGAGAAATCCCGCTGAAAAAAAATTGTTGGGTGGGCATTTCGCAATGCTGGTTTCCTATTCAGCAGTAATAGTGCTTGTTCCTCACTTTCGAGAATAATTTTTAATGGTCTGTGATGGCCCGACTCGCCCTCCAAATCCTTAATGGGTCCTATCCTGAAAGCTTTCAATACGGTGATGTTCTCGTTCTCTTGTAATAGGGATTTGAGGTATTGCTGGAATAATTATATATCGTGGCTTATTCTGTTGTTTGGGATGTCTGAAGAAGACTCAGGCATACCCTTTACGATGATGCATTTATTGCGATCAATAGGGCGCTGTCGTTTGTTTTTATACGCACAGTTGGCATCGCGAAAGTTTTTGTTGTCATCAATGTCCCCTTCAGAGACAGTTGTCATGGTATAGCTACCGCAGGGTTCCTCGTTTATCGAGGCTTCCTAGTCATGTGGCACCTCTTGCGTCAGTGAGGCATCTTGTCTTCTGTGTGGACTCTGCTCTCCACTGGTGGTGCTCTGACATACTTGATCTTTTTGGGATGCTTTGAGACGTCTCCTGGTTTTTTGTGATGCCCTTCGGTTATTTTGCGCTCGCACATGAGATAGGGTCTCGGTTGCAATGGTGGCGCATTCCAAGGCGCGTGTATGTTAAGCCTCCGCTGCACGACAGCTGTAGTGCTCGACCTGCGGCTGTCGACGAAAAGGTCCGTTATCTTGCCCTTAAGGCCTTTCGAGAAGGCGTGCGTTCACAGCGAAGGCTTCCCATCGGTTTGGTAGTTGATATCTCATCCTTCACGACGGACGTCCACCAGTGCTAGAGAAAACATGAAGCTGACGAGGTTTAGGCTGAGCGTGTAGGTCTGCCTCTCCTCATTTGTTATCTGGATTGCTTCTGAGATGGACTTATCATCTCTGATGCGACCCATTTTACCGCTACGCAGTCGTCCTCATCTCGTCATTATTTTCTACGGCACTTTTAAGCCGGTGATGTCGACAGCCTAGATGAGATCGACACACGTCGCGAAAACCAACTTCTCGTCTGCCATTGTTCTGTCGTTGCTGCCTAATGAAAATCATGTTGGTCACTCCGAAGTTTGTTGCCGGAAGAGGAGGTCCTCGGTCAAGGCCTAAGATCAAGCGGCCGAAGATCTTGTCAGGAATGCTGTGATAAGAGTCTCATGTTGATTCCTGAAGATGTATCGGTTTCTTTCCAGCTTCTGGGAGTCCACGATAATGTCGTCCTTAGGGTTTTTTGTCGGCATATTTCGTGAAAATAACGAAGCGCGTTTGTCCCAAAGTTGTGGACCATCGTATTAGTAGACCTTGAACTGGGATTAGGTTGGACTTCGAGGTTTTTCCACTATAAGCCTGTTGCACGACTCCGATCTCCTGCAGAGCGGACGGGCGACCAGCTCCAACATTGAATTAAGTGAAAAACCAGTCTTTGTGACTTTCGCAAAGACTGCGCATGGATGGCTGAGAACGCGATTTTTCGGACACTAAAGGTTATTCCATCTGAGCTGAACAGCGGCATAGTTCCTGTGAATTGAGGGCCTCCCAGTGCTTTAATGGCCCTGATTCGGTTCTCCACTTTACAACAATCAGTTGAACTTCCCTGTTCGTTTATCGCTTCTCCCGCATCGTCATTTGCAGTTCATGCTGTTTGCGCAGGACCTTTTGGAGCTTGTTTTTACTGAGATTCTTCGTCTCCGTCAAACCCGTCCGGGGAGGGGGGGAGATCCGAGGAGTTTCGCGATGCCGACACTTGATCTTGCTGTTGGTCGCCTCAGAGAGTGCCACCGCCCTGATGGATTCCTCTTTTTTTCTCTTTGTGGGTGACTACAGGGCTGTTGTTCTAAGGCCGTAAGGTACCCGTCCTTTGTTAGCTAGTCCCAGATATCGGGACTTCTTTTGGCAGTCCTACAAGTGGTCATGACTTTTACACAGACATGATCCCATGAGTGTTTTTGTTTTGCAAGAAGAGGCTTTGGTGGGGTTTTCATTTCTGACGCAAACATCCTTGACGTCTTGTGGGGGCTGTTAAGCTAAAATGCATATGCTGATCGGGTTATACTGATTTAAATTAAAGTTATTTGCTTGTTTTGACAGAGTTTGTGAACATTGTGCGTGACCAACTACACCAGCTGGTGCAAGCCTACGCAAGCTCTGGTGCGTCAAGCCTACGTGAGTGGTCTTCGGCCTTGCTGAAGGGTCTCTAGACTAAGAAGCCGCCGTCTCCCCTCCCTCGCTTGTCGGTGTTGATCGCGACCCGAGGTACCGCGCCAAGCAAAGGGCTGCGCTACTCCTCCGTTTTCAATATACTGTTTATTACAATTTGAAATAAACGCACGGTTCTCCATACTCCTTGGCTATATAATTTAGTGGGAGCTTACCT